ATTCATAGTGATGTGTAGTCGTCTCCAGTTATTTCACGTTGGGTTATAAATACTTTGTATTATTCATTGATGATTGCACTAGTTACACATGGGTTTACTTTCTTCAAAAGAAATCAGAAGTCTTCTCCATGTTTAAGAACTTTCATGCTATGGTAATGACCCAGTTTAAAAGCACTATAAATATTTTGAGGTCAGATTTAGGGGGAGAGTATTATGATGGTGAGGGTGGTGAGTTTCAAACCTATCTTAAACAACATGGCATTCAATCCCAGAGATCTTGTCTTGGTACTCCTCAACTTAGTGAAGTATCGGAGCGCAATAACCATCATATTGCTAGTATGGTGAGGTCCTTGATACAAGATTCACATGCTCCCCTTACCTTATGGGTGGAGGTGACCCATACTACTTTTCAATTCCGTGTTCCTAAGTTACAAGAAAAATAAATAAAATTCTTTCTCACAGATAAACTCAATTCCATTTTTGATGGGCTAAAGAAGAGCATATATTCAAAAGGAAGGGTGGGTTGGTTATATACTCTTATGCGCGTTCCTTCTTCGAACCTTTTGGTATGTATTGCCCCCTAACTATAGATCAGATCCACCGGACGAGAAACTCAATTCCGCACTGCTGCTGAGTCGTCAGACTTATCCACCATGGGGTCGTGGAATTTCAGTTTCGTCTCCCTATCAGTCCTTTTATCGTCCACCAAACCTATCCATTCTTCGTATCTTCGGATGTGTTTGTTTTGTCCATCTCCCTCCTCATGAACCCACAAAACTAACAACTCAATCAGCTATGTATGCTTTCATGGGATACAGTACGGAACACAAGGGGTTTTTTGTTATGATCCCAAAGTCTGTCGGTTGCGCATTTTTCACAATGTCTTTTTTCTTAAGAATCTCATTCTTTGAACATATTTGTAAATTACCTGCACCATCCATTTCTGTTATGCATTACTTTGGATCTATAGGTGATTCTCCTTCTCTTCAGCCTCTTCAAACATACTTCAGGAAGCATCCAATTCGCCCATTGCCTATGCCTCCTCCATCTCAAGCAATAGTGTTTGATCATTCCTCTCCATCCACCATTATTGTAAGTGCAAATTCTCCTCCTGAGGATTTACCTTCATCTATTCCTTTGCGTTGGTTATCTCGTATTTCTTGTGCACCTGATCGCTATGGCTTCTTTTCAAGTCATAGCTCATTCTCAACTGTTTTGTCATCCACAGATATTCCTAAGTCTTACAGCTAAGCCGTAGCAGTTGAGCATTGGAAAGAAGCTATGGATTTAGAGGTTCAGGTTTTATTGGAAAATGACACATGGGATCTTGTCTCCTCTAGATGCCTCCATAATTGGTAGCCGGTGGGTTTACACCGGAAAACTCAAATCTGATGGTACTCTGGACAGATATAAGGCCCCTCTGGTTGCTTAAGGCTACAAGCAAGATTTTAGAATTGACTATGATGAAACTTTTGCACCTGTGGCCAAAATGACAACAGTTCGTTTGCTACTAGCCATTATTGCCCTCAAATAGTGGACAATTTATCAGATGTTTGTCAAGAATGCCTTCCTCCATGGAGAGTTACGGGAGACAATTTATATGAAACCACCTCCCAGCTACTATGACAATCCTCAGTTGGTTTGTAAATTGAAGAAATCTTTATATGGCCTTAAACAAGCTCCACGAGCTTGGTTTGATCGCTTTCGTACAGTAGTGTTGGAAGCTGGTTTTCAGTAGAGTACTTCTGACTACAACGGGCTCAGGGATTGACTCTTTTTTTGGTCTATGTTGATGACATCCTTATTATTGGAGATGATGTGGATGGTTTTACCAATCTTAAACTTCTGCTTAGTAACTCCTTCAAAATGAAAGATCTTGGGCCAGTAATATACTTTCTTGGACTCGAAATTCAAAGATGTCATCGGGGTTACGTTGTCAATCAACAAAAATATGCTTCTGATTTGGTGCCTCTTGCTTGCTTGACTGACTCTAAACATGTTGATACACCTCTGGAGCTTAATTGTAAGTTGAGTAAAGAGGAGGGTGATCTTCTTCCTAATGCTATCCTATATAGACAATTTGTAGGTAGTCTTATCTACCTAACCATGATTAGACCTGACATCTTTTATGCGGTTCAAATTGTGAGTCAGTTTGTTTAAGCTCCATGTCAGCCATACTATTCTGCAATTTTCCGAATTATTTGTTATGTACGGAGTACACTATCATATAGCTTATTTTTCACATCGTCTTCATCCACACAACTTCGAGCTTATGCAGATGCTGACTGGGTCTGTTGTCCTGACACTCGTCGCTCTACTACTGGCTGGTGTATATTCCTTGGTGATTCTTTGATTTCTTGGAAATGCAAGAAACAACAAACGGTTTCCAAGTCATCTACTGAAGCCGAGTATAGAGCCATGTTTTCAGTATGCAGTGAAATAATCTGGCTTAAGGCACTCCTTCATGACGTGAATATTGATGACTCATTTGCTATTCCTCTGTTTGTAGACATCAAGATTGCAACCAATCCTGCATTTCATGAGCGGACTAAACATATTGAGGTGGATTGTCACTTCATTCGTAACTTTCTCCATGCAGGTCATATCTCTCTCCCACATGTTTCATCGGGTCTACAACTTGCGGATCTCTTCACCAAAGCCATGACCAAAGCCCGACATAATTTCCTTGTTGACAAACTGATGCTTCTACCCCAACATCAGTTTGAGGGGGAGTGTAGAAGAACTACTAAAGGGTAGTTTTGTAATTCTACTGTACTATACTTTATGTTTTCTTTCCTGTACTATAATAGGCGTGTACTTTAGTGTACAACTCCTTTTTTATTCTCTTTGTAAGGTCAATCTTGTTCCTTTACATAAGATTAATATAAATATATATTTTTCTGGGTTGGTTTGATCAAATTGATCAACCCTAACAGATCTGGATTTTTGTCTTTCTCATTGCTCTTACTCTTTCTCGAGCTGACAATTAGATTGTTGGCTTCTTGGGTAGAGGTGTAAATCAGGTCATGCCGGGTATGCCACGTTCTTATGGGTAGTGTCGGGCTTGGGGTTTCAGGTCCATGGGCCGGCACAACACGACACGACACGACCAAGCGGGCCATGTTGCTCGCGACCTGGCCCAACCCGACCCATATATATATATTATATTATTGTATATATAATTTTGTTATATTATTTCATTTTTCATTGCATATATAAACCATTGTATATATCAAAATTCATATAAAATAAAATTTAAAGATATTTTTAAAATTTTTTGTCTATTTTTTAATTTATGTTAAAATTTTCATTACTTTTTCAAAATTTTTAAAAAACATGGCTTTGCTTGGTCTGTGGCCCAGATTGGCCCCTGGCATGACACTGCATGGAATGGGCCTACATGGGCTTGGGCCATGGGCCGTGCTGGGCTTACCTTCCAAAGTATCCCAGGGGAGGGAAGCATGGCCTGCCTTGGCCCGCGGGCTGGCACGACACAACCCACACTTTGTGCGGGCCACACATGGACTGTGCCGTGTTGCCCAGCATGACCTGATTTACACCTCTATTTCTGGGTTGGAGGAGGGCAAGTCGGCCTCTGAGGTCCTCGTCCTCCCGAGGTGGAATGTGTGGCCCTGTTGTAGAATGTTCAGTAGATCTTCTTAGGGCTGGATACACATTACGTGGCGTCGAGGTGTCACCAGTTGGTTTGGCATGCCATGTGATGCTTCATGGTTGGTTGGCCAAGTCACCCTCCATCAGCATTGTTATTGCCTCCATGGAAGACATAGGTAGTCACACAGGCATCCTTGTGCGAATCCATCAATCACAAACCTCACAAAGATTTATGTCACCAACATCACAACATCCCAACACTAGCTGAAAAACCCCAAACCCTTTTTCACCAGGTTTGAACTAGGGTTACACCAATGAAAAGGAGAGAAAAAGTGTTGTGGCAAAACTCAGGAAGAAATGAGTTTTTCAAAAAAAATTTAGGGCTCAAAAACCAGGGATCATTTCTTGCATACTTCGAGATTTTCCATGATCCAAACCCAAAATGTTTTAAGGGCAATCAACCCTCCACATGATCACAGAAGCCTTAAGCTCCAGATTTGGATTTTTCATCAATTTCCATCCGAAAATTTAAAAAAAAATGCGCCTATGCACCTTCAAACTGTCTCGAAATATATACTAAAAATCTTCTAAAATTATGGTGCATCAACCTGCACTAGAAACACATAGGGTTGTTGTTGGCTGTACGGATTGTTGATGTTAGTCGACAACGTGCTAACATCACCAGTTCTACCTGAGTCAACCAGTAGCAGAAGAGTTCCTTGGTCTCAAGGGTGCTCTGATACCAAGTTACAAAATATTAAGAGAGAGAAAGGAAAAGAAGAAAAGAGAAGAATAGTTTGTCTTGATAATGGGCCAAGTTGCTATTCATGCCCCAAAACAAAGTATTTGAATAGGATGAAGAAAATACCCTTAACTAGGTGCCCCAATATAAAAAGCCTGAAAGAGCAGCCCAGTGCACGAGGCTCCTTTCAATGCGAGGTTTGGGGAGGGATAGATGTATGCAGCCTTACCCTTGCACATATAGAGAGGCTGTTTCCAACAACACAACTATCATTTCGAAGACAAAAATACCCTAACACTTCGAACATAAATTAATATAGTTGAAATACTATTGTTTTAAATATGTTGATTTTCCATGTTTCGAGAGGAATTTTAATGTTATTAATAAAGAAAATTGCTATTTTCCAATTAACATGCATGCTTTATTGTATACAAAACTAGATAATTAGGAAACACTTAGTTTTTTATTTTATGTAATTCTTGCCTAGGCAAAGCCTAGGTGCTCCATTGTTGCCTTAACAACTATGCTTCTAGATTTTGAAAGGTTGCCTATTTCAAGATCACCAAATTGCCCTATGATAGCAATTTGGCCTTGAATGATATTGATTTTTTGGTAGTTGTTTGAACATCGTTATTCTCCATTTTAGCATGATGCTGGTCGGAGAGCTTTTGAGGATGCTCAACAGCAGATGAATGAGATAATGGCTAAAATTGAAGAAAAGAGTGTCAGCATCATGAAAGTCAAAAGTGATTTAGAGGATCACAGAAGTAAGGCAATGGTAGCTCGGAAAGTTGAACAGGTATGTGTGCCATCCTGTTGAATTTATGTACTTTCATTGTTTATGCTGTTAAAATAGAATCTAGTAAGAACACCTTAGTCCTTCACAGGAATGCAGTAGAGAGCAAGAATCACTAATTCCTCTTGAACAAGCTGCAAGACAAAAGGTTGCAGAGCTTTTGTCTGTTATGGAGTCAGAAAAGAGTCAGGGAACTGTTTTGAAGGCAATCTTGCAAGCTAAGGAGTCTAACCAAATAGAGGGAATTTATGGCCGAATGGGAGATCTAGGTGCTATTGATGGTGAATATTTTCTTTTCTTGACTAGTATTTGCTGTTCAATAAATTGTGTTGATATGCTTATAAGAACATCTGTTACATTTCACATCCTTATTGTAATTATAGTTGTATATTTACATTTTTGGTTACTAATTTCCCCAGAATGGATTGCATTGTTGGATGCATTAATCTTCTACAGGTCAATCTTTGAATTGTTCTTATAAATTTAGAGAACAAAAGTATGCTTGGAAGCATTTTTTTTTTGTTTTTTTCCAAGTATGTAACAGTTCAACTCTTAGAGTTTTTCCACATTCTCCACATTCTTAAAAGGAAGTCCTTATCTGCTAATCAGTCTTCTTTGATTGATAGGGTGAGATTCTGTGTTATTGTTTGTGAAAAAGATGCATAGTGCCAACAAAAAATTGATTGGTCATCTGTATAGGCTCATTGAAAATTTAATCTTACCTTCAAAATTGGAACCACAAAAAAGTGAATTAGGAAAGTGTTGGATCACTTTTATGAAAGGAATCAAAGAATGAAGAATGTTAAAAAAGAGGTCTAGCTAATTGCTGTGTTCAATTGCAACATGTGATTTCGCTTGGGTATGAGTAAATTGGAATTGAATCTGCATGAATATCCTAGCTATAGATTGGTCAAATCATGGTCCAGATCTAATCAATTATTGTCAGAATCTCAAACAGTAGATCTTTTGGTAATTAGATCAATCTTATCCATCCTGTGTCCGTACAAACTGCTATGCATGGTTGCATGTGTAATAATAATATTTTTATTAGTTGAGTTACTTTGTGCAATAAGCTTTTTAGTAAAATGTTGTAGGTTCAAGCCTCATGGAAGTCATCTTTAGTTGGTTATGATTTTTTTAAAAGAATTTGTAATGTGTGTGTAGTATATGTATGTTTGCTGATCAGTCCAATTTGAATTAATTCTGAATATCCTAAATATAAAACTGAATCAAAATCAGATTTAGGTAAATGTAATTTTAACTGATCTGTTTATGACCCTGGATAAGAGTGTCACAGTGAATAACCCCCCAAAAGAGCATTAATGTGATATGTTACATCGACTTTTTAAAAGTGAAATATTTTTTTACATGGTTTAGAATGGTGTGCATCTTGTTTGGAGACAAGAATACCTAAATATTGTATTGTACTTATGATGTGGAAGGCTTAAGCTTAAGGCAGTTGGACTTAGCTTTGCACGTGGAGTAGAGCGTGCCCGTATGGAAGGGGGGGGAGGTGATGCACAGTGGCTTATGGCTTTCCAAGCTGGGCACCATATGGACTGCCTATAAGCTTTGTTTTATGAAAAAACTGAAGAGCCCAAATTGACTGTAAGTAGTCATTTGAAGGGCTGTCTGCTTCAGCCTATTTGAATAGCTTATTTGGAGTTCTCCAAAGTAGCTGAATCTTGAACTCAGTCCTCCCAAATGGACTTAGAGGTTGATGGCCTCTCTTGGTCTTAATATCTGACAAGGCCCATTCAAAGGTAGGGGTTCCATCTGATGGATTTCCGGATCTTTGTTTTCTACAATGGTCGTCCATGTACAAGATCTCTACCGTAACATGAGATGGAGTTTGTTATTACCCTTGAAGAATCTTGGATGTTTTTTGAATGATGTGGTTAAGTGGCAAAATGTTTTGCAAAATTGTACCTCATTTTAGATAGATGTTTAGAAAAGTCTTTAATTTGTCAGTTGATCTATATTGCTTTTGTTGACTACACTCTAAATTGGCACCTTTTCTGAGATTGACACATACTTTCATTTGTTGTTTATTTTTCACCAATTGTTTCAGAATGAGCTTTCCCCTTTTTGGATTTATTTCATTTGCTTCTTTCATTGACTGTTTTTAATTGTTGCAGCAAAATATGATGTTGCCATATCAACTGCTTGCCCTGGACTAGACTATATTGTTGTTGAAACAACTAGTGCAGCACAAGCATGTGTGGAGCTACTTCGACAAAGGAATCTTGGTGTTGCAACTTTCATGATTTTGGTATATATCACTTGCTTTAGAGTTGTGGTGCTCAACATCTTCTCCATTTGTCATGCTCTTGATAAATTTGTTGAGTTCACATTTAGTGAAGTCACTTATTACATAGGCATCTCAGAACTGGGCACTTACCTCTTGCATTGTAGTTTATGTGGTTAACTTCTTAAAAGTGGTTGCATAATGGCTCTTAGGTATCACATTAGGGTCTATGGTGCTAGCTCTTGAAGAAGTATTACCTTGCTACATTACATGGGCATGGGGTATTTATGTGTTTAAAGGTTTCCAACCAATCAACCTCCATAAAATTGTAGCAAAAAAATCTTAATTTATTTATGATAAGAATGCATCCCAGTTTTAATGATTTATATTAAGAACAATTCAAATTTAACTACAATAATTATCTTTCCTGGTAGAATAAATAAGCATGCACTAATATTTTTCAAATGAGTTTTTACTGGAATTCTCTTTGCAGGAAAAACAAATGGATCATTTACCAAGGTTGAAGGAAAAAGTTAGCACCCCGGAGGGAGTTCCACGGCTTTTTGATCTTGTTAAGGTTCAAGATGAACGGATGAAACTAGCGTTTTTTGCAGCCCTTGGGAACACTGTAGTAGCAAAAGACCTTGATCAGGTATTTTATAATCTCTTTATATCTTGCTTTTGTTCGACATTCTTACATTTACATACTTGCTGCGTGCATAATGGTTGATAAGAATTTATTCTATGCAACATCAAAATTGGTGGACCATTTGTCCAGGGTTTTAAAAGTTCAAGGCTAAAAAAAAGGCGCAGGGAGCAATCTGTGCCCAAGTTGCAAGGTGCAAGGCAATGTGAAGCAAGGCACAAAAGTACAATAAATGGCAAAAAAATTCAAAAATGAAAAAAATTTAAAAAATATCTTAAACATAACATTAATAAACATATAAACTTAAATTTCAAAACAAATATTAAAAAAATCCTATTATCTAAAATTAAAATACATGAACATAACATGTAAAACATATTCAAATGGGAATTTAAAAATAAAATCAAACATATAAAACATTTTCAAGCATGTAAAAATGATTTTATAATTCTTAATCTTTTTGCTTGCTTTACTCACTCACCGTTGCTTTGAGAACCCCCTTATTTGCTAATGTTGTTCATTTATTCATCATAGTAAAATATCTTCTTAAAAGGCAATTAAAGAATAAAGAAGGCACACACCTGGGCTGAAGTGCAAGGCGCACTAGGTGCACACCTAGGCTCACTGGGCACATACCTTTTGAAAGTGCTGCATGTAGGGCCAAGGTTTGGTGCATACCTTAAAATATGCCTTGCATGAGTGCCTAAGCTCACCTTTTAAATCACTGTTTGTCCATTGAATGAAAAGGATTAAAAGAAGTATTATACTGTGCATTAGAATAAGATGTCTATGGATTTTCTTCCCAATGCACTTTTTCTTAATTTAGGAATTTTTTTTTTTCAATAAAAACCTGAAAGAGAAAAAAGGATAAAGTTTTGCTGTTGGAAGTAGAGAAACAGATTCCTTATAGATAATATGGATCTTGACTTTCTTTTATTGGACCATGCTTTACATCTATTACCTTACATGGGATTACTTGTTCTCTGGTTAAAGTTTTTGTTTATAGAACTCTATACAACCTTATTATAATTTAAATAAGTGTCTGTCTATTGCAATTGGTTATAATTATATTCACACTTCTTCTGAGTTGCAGTGGTATCATAGCCTCCTTTAATTATATTCACTGTATTTAAGTTTGGTTATGCAAGCTTTGTTCTTGTTCATATTTTTCTTATCTAAATTAATGAAACATATTCTAGCAAGATGAATCTTTTATGTTGCATATTGTTAGGCAACAAGGATCGCATATGGTACAAATAAGGAATTTCGGCGTGTAGTAACACTTGATGGTGCACTCTTTGAGAAGTCGGGTACAATGAGTGGTGGTGGAAGCAAGCCTCGTGGTGGTAAGATGAGTACATCTATCCGTGCCATCAGTGTTTCTGGTGAAGCTATTGCAAATGCTGAGAGAGATCTTGCTAAGTTGGTTGATCAGCTTAGTAGTTTACGCCAAAGGATTTCTGAGGCAGTGAGGCAGTATCAGGTGTCTGAAAAAGCAGTGGCCAATTTGGAAATGCAATTAGCCAAAACTCAAAAGGAGGTAGCATATGAATACTAATTTGTTCAAGGCTTATTTTAATCAGTAATAACTACTGAGTGTTGATTTTATTAAGTTTCCCCTTTCAACCAGATAGAAAGCTTGAATGCACAACATAGTTATATTGAGAAACAACTTGGTTCTTTAGAGGCTGCATCACAACCAGTGAAGGATGAACTTGATAGATTGGAGGAGCTCAACAAAATTATATCTCATGAAGAAAAGGAGCTTGGGAGACTTACTAAAGGCTCTAAACAGTTGAAGGATAAGGTGAGTGGGTGGCAGGATCATATTTCAAGCGTCACTACAATGACAAACTACATTGCCTTTCTTGTTGTCTTCGCATTTCTGCTTATATTCTGAGACCTGGATACATTTACGTACCTAGTTTACTGGTGTCAGACATGATATTTACCAGGTATGAATCTGGATACTGCATGGGCACTTCCAGATGTGTTCAAAAGCATTAACTCTTTATATGTGAAACTGTGTAGTTTAGCAAATTATACTATAAAAAATTGTATATGTTGGGAATTTTATTAAATTTGGGAAGAAATGTCTTAAGAAATGACATTTAGCTTCAAAAACAAAATTTAAAAAGCATGATATAAACTTATTACATGGATTGATGGATACCTGTATCCATGTCCACTGTCCAGGATTATAGGAAATGGGGAGTTGTATCCTTGTGTCTGTGTCCACATGCATATTCGGGCGTCATCAGTTATGTTACCATACAGCCATGCCATATGTTTGTTTTCTAACTATTTCAATACTGAAACAAGCATTTGGTTGGCTTAAGAAAAGGAATGGTAGTTATTTTTCCTTGAAAAACTAAAAACTATGTGAAGATTGAGTGCAAGATGCAAAATGGGTAGATGGTGCTCACTAATGCTACTTTTTTAAAAAGTTTTCTTTGTTTTTTTTTTTTCTTGTGAACCAATAATGTTTAGGAAATAAAGCTTTGCTTTCATATCTATCAATATAAATAAATACATAAAGATATTCTTTTATTTTCTATCCTTTTAGTTTCTTTCACTTTTTTTTCTCATGGAAAACAAATGAAGCCTTGGGATATTTTTACTGGAACCCCAAAAAAAGTATTAACAATATTGGAGTAAATTGAGTCATCTGAAATGATATGACACCCTTGTACATGTATCTGGGTATCATAGCTCATCAATGGCTGTGCATGATGCATTGATACTCGAAAATTGAAATATCTATAGAAACGTGATTTTGGTTTAAACACCTGTCATTTGTAGGAAAAGTTAGTTTATAATTTAAAAATCTATAGTTTTTTTTATTATCTTTTGACATCTTTTGAAAATTATTTAATTGCTGGAGCTCCAAGGCTAGGTCTTTCAGGACCTCTTACATGGGAACACTTGTGAACAATATAGACACTAACTTCTATGCCTTATGGCCCCTAAAAAAGCTTGGTGTCTTACAATTTTGCAATAGTACTAACTTCTGGAATTTTCCTTCACTTGATTTCCAGGCTCTTGTGCTTCAGGGTAAAATAGAAAATGCAGGTGGTGAAAGGTTGAAATCCCAAAAGTCAAAAGTGAATAAAATTCAGTCTGTAAGTATATCTTCACCACCTAAAGAATGTCAAGCTCTATTAAAAGATATTTGTACTAAGGGGATTGATACTGGAAAGTGGTATGTCTGATCCAACAAGTGTCTCTTATTCACTAGGATATTGACAAGAGCAACACAGAGATCAATCGTCACAAGGTTCAGATAGTGACGGGTGAGAAAATGGTGAAGAAATTGACAAAGGGGATTGAGGAATCAAAGAAAGAGAAAGAGAGGGTTTTAGAGGAAAAGGAGAAAATGCTTGCTGCTTTTGAAGAGATCAAACAGAAAGCACTTGCAGTGCAAGAAAACTATGAAAAGACGCAGAAGGTCATTTGTCAGTCAGCATAGTGATACTACATTTTGGAACAGAATGTTTGTTCTGCTTCTGACGTTTGCTTTGAAATCTACAGCTTATGGATACCCATAATGATGAACTGGATGAAAAGAAAGCAGAATATAACAAACTGAAGAAAACAGTGGATGAACTACGTGCTTCTGAGGTTTGCTTCCGTTGAACTTGCTTTTTTCCTTTATTTTTGTTTCCTAGTCTGGTCATTTTGATCTTATTCCTTTGATTGCTTTACATGGAAGAACAGGTCGATATTGATTATAAGTTACAAGATCTGAAGAAGCATTCCAAGGAATGGGAAGTTAAGATGAAGGGGTACAAAAAGAAGCTTGATGACCTACAGATTGATCTCAAGAAACATTTGGAGCAGTATGTTCTGTCTAATGTCTTGAAATTGGCCTGTGTTGCAAATTTTATAGTAGGGTTTTTTTATATTATTTTTTTTGTGGTTTTAGAGTTCAAAAGGATGCAGTAGATCCTGAAAAGTTAAAAGTAACACTGGATGACGAGGTATTGTGTGAGGCTTGTGACCTAAAAAGAGCACTTGAGATGGTAGCGTTGCTCGAAGCACAACTGAAAGAAATGAGTCCAAACCTTGATTCTATTGCAGAGTATGCTTTCTCATTTATTTCTCTTTCTGAAGTATGCACATCTCTTTCATCTGTTTTTCAAATGCTTTGTGTTTTTATATCTGTAGATATCAGAGGAAAGCTTCCGTGTACACTGAACGTGTGGGAGAACTGAATACAGTGACCCAAGAACGTGATGTTGTAAAGAATCAGTATGATGAACTTAGGAAAAAACGGCAAGGCGACCATCTCTGATTGTGCTTTCTTTTTAACATTTTCGATGCATTTTCTACTTTCTTCCTGCTATATAAATATTCTGATGTGATCATTTTGGTCATGGTTATAGGTTAGATGAGTTTATGGCAGGCTTCAACACAATATCATTGAAGTTGAAGGAAATGTATCAGGTTTGTGCATTTTGATGTTTTTTCCTATAGATTTTAGATGTCTCACTCACATGTAGACATGATGTGTGTCAGACACAAGGTATCGAATGGATTGTTGGTCTTTATTTACTTCTGAAATAAATATAAACATCTCTAATGCATTTTATATTGTGCAATCACTATATTTAATCTTATTTTAGATTTGGTAACTTATTTGTGGGAACCTAGGTTATGTCTAACATGTGACTTGATGAGGGCAAGTAGATTAAGATGGTTTGGGTATTACTATACTTGGCTGGTAAGAAGTGGTGCATTGTAATTGAGGGTGTAGAAAAAATAGTGGAGGCATTGAGAATTGGTTTGATGGCTCATAATTTAACAATTGATATGATATCAACCCCTATAGTTGGGATAAGGCCTTGTTTAGTTTAGTTGAGAGAGCTTTGGTAGTAAATAAAATGCATGACATAATAACTGGTGGTACATAACCTAAGGTGAGGTTGCCATACAGGCATATTCTAAGGTAATTTTCCTTGTGAGGTGTAAAGCTTGCAAGAATGAAAGACTGCTTTGTTGGTGGTCAGTGGTCTTCATAAAATGAATTTAAAAAAGGAGAAAAAGAGGAGTAAATGAAAGATCAAATATCAGGAGAATGCAATTCTCTCCAAGAAGACTAGTTGTAAAGATCAAATATTAAGTCTTAAGTTAAACTGTCAAAAAATGAGGCACATCACTATTTATAGGCAGGGCTAGGAAATCCTAGATTGCACAACAATCTCCTTGCACACAAAGAAAAGGACATTTACGAATATCTTTTGAAATATTGTTCCAGGGTATTTTTCTTTTGGGCAGTTGCAAATTGCAGGAAAAATTAGGAATGCCTCTAATATTAGATATTCATCATACTAAGCAAAAATAAGTGTGATAAATGAGATTTTTTTGTTATTAATGATGAAAACCTATCTCCACCCCTATTGATGTGAATTATAAACTCTCAGCTAATGATGGAGAGCTTTTAGCTGACAGGGGATTATTTTAACGACTATTGGGGAAACTCCTGTATCTATGTATGGCTTGTCTAGACATTTCATATGTTGTGAGTGTCATCAGTAAGTTCATGCATGCTCCCAGAGACACATGGCAGCTGTAGAAAGGGTGCTATGCTATCTTAAGGGAACCCATGGGAAGGGTATATTATTTGCTAAACATGGGCACATGAAGGTAGAAGTACATACAGATGCTAATTGGGTCGGTAATGTGGATGATAGAAGATCCACATCAGGTTATTGTGCTACGGTTGCCAGAATATTGTTTCCTGGAGAAATAAAAAGCAGTCAATGGTTGTTAGATCTTTAGCTGAGTCTGAGTATAGGGCTATGGCCTATGGGGTTTTTGAGTTTTATGGCTTGGATCTCTTTTTGATGAGATGGATGTTGCATGTGACAAGCCACTGATGTTGTATTGTGATAATCAAGCTGCAATCGACATCGCTCACAACTCAGTTCAACATGATAGAACTAAGCACATTGAGGTAAACATGCACTTTATATGGGAGAGAGTGGCTTCAGGATAGGTGTGCCTTCCGTTCATTGCATCAGAAGAATAATTAGTAGATTTTGACTAAGGGAGTTCCAAAAGCAAAACTTCAGTATTATGTAAGCAAATTGGGCATGAATGACATCTATGCTCAACTCGAGGGGGAGTATAGTGAGAATGGGCCTTAGTGATTTATTTCTTTTGAGTTGTGTTTTTAAGTTATGTTCTTTTAGTTATGGACCTCTTTTGTTTGCTTTTAATTATTTCTCTAGTGATGGCTGCCCTATTAAGGGCATCCAGGGTATTGTACTCATTTTAGAATTAAGAGAATAAAAGACATCTTGGGGGGCTAGAGAGATCAGATCGAACTCTTCTCTTCTCTCTTCCCTTCTCTTCTTCTTCCACTAACTACTGCTGAATCCTCTCTTTCTTCCTTTATTCTTCCTTTTTTATTTTTTTCTGAATTATTGCAGGAGTAATAATAATAATAATAATAAATTGGGTTTGAGTTTGGCTTGAAACTTGATTTGGACCGAGTCAAATTGAGTTTTTTGTTAGTCAAGCTCTAATGGCTCTTGAGTAGCTTGCTTTAGATGCAGCAATTGATTTAAAATTGATGGTCCGGGGAAAATTGATGTTTGGTACATATTAAGAAATAAAAATTTAAAACTGTAGCAACTGATTTGGTAAAATAGAATTTTTTTAGTTACTAAGGCCCTGTTTGGTTTGCTGGAATAGGGGTCTGGAATCAGAATCGGAATGGATTATTCCAATCCCAACTGTTTGGTTGGGCGAAATCAGAATCCCATTCCCACTCCTGGTGGAATGGCATTCCCTCATTTGAGGGAATGACCACTCCCTCCCCCTCGAGAATGAAATCCCATTCCTGCTGATTCCAATTTTCGTTCCCATTCCTGTCTGAACCAAACAGACTATGAAAATAGACCATTCTGATTCCGATTCTGACTGAACCAAACGGACCCTAAGTTATTGATTTCCTCCATGTTATAATTGTCCACACAACATACAATCTCTCTCATATATATATATATATATATATTATTGAAGTTCCTTTTATTATTATAATAAATAACAAATATGATGCTTTAAGTAAGAGCACACGCTATGCATGTGTGCAAGTAAAGGGTAAACATTATAATCGAATATAACTCGTATGACCTGCACCAAAAAACCAAGGCAAGTACCCACTTTATATAGTATATACATATCATTTGTTATTTTGTCAAACTTATGTCTATTTTTGAATTTGATTATATAGGACTGCTAAATTATTGGCTGTTATACTGGCATTTTGTTCTGGTGATATATCTGTTTTGAGATAATTGTCTACATGGGTTGCACACTGATGTTCTGCATACATGTTATTGAGAACTTTTCTGGTTAGTATGATTCATACCCTTTCTGCAGATGATCACACTTGGAGGTGATGCAGAGTTAGAGCTAGTGGACTCCTTGGATCCTTTCTCTGAGGGTGTTGTTTTCAGTGTCAGACCTCCAAAGAAGAGTTGGAAAAACATTGCAAATTTGTCAGGCGGTGAGAAGGTGGCTTCTTACAATCCCACCTTTGAAAGACAATTATCTCCCTAATTATTTTCGTCTCCCATTTATTTGCCTATAGTAAATACTCTTTTATCTTTTCCTTTGGGGGTGAATTGGTCTGGGGTTGGGTGGGGGATTAAATGATTGATGGTTGGTTGTATACGTTTTGACCCATGTGTTCTGGTCTGCTGGATCAGTCTTCCCAGGCCTGTTGACACTCACAAATGGGTTTTATGCCCTTGTAAATTAATTATTTGCAGATTTCTTACAATGCTGTCTATTGACGTTCTTTACTATTTTCATTTCAGACACTCAGTTCATTAGCTCTTGTTTTTGCACTTCATCATTACAAACCTACACCGCTCTATGTTATGGATGAGATTGATGCTGCCCTGGGTACTTTTTCCGACTCTGCACAATTTCTGGCATATTTCCTCTTTCCTTCCTAATGTTTTGTTTGCTTATGGTTTATGTTCTCTTGCAGATTTCAAAAATGTCTCAATTGTTGGACATTATGTGAAAGAGCGCACGAAGGATGCACAATTCATAATCATAAGGTAGTAGGAAAGTAATGGCGGATTATTACCAAAATAACTTTACTCTCACCTCTGATATCTTGTATTATGGTTTATGTTATTTTGCAGTCTGAGAAACAACATGTTTGAGTTGGCTGACCGACTTGTTGGCATTTACAAAACTGATAACTGCACCAAAAGCATTACAATCAACCCAGGAAGCTTTGCGGTTTGTGAGAAAGCAGCATAATTCATGGGTGTAAGTGTAACTACTGTGAATTGCCTTGTAATTTTATTCTGTTTAAAGCTATGGTACCAATTTCAAGTGCTGTGCAAGCTCCTGTATCCTAATACAGGAGCTTGCAGGTACCAAATGTGTATGTGTTTACAACTAAAAGGTTAAGTGTATGTGCTTGATGCCTTTTATATATATATGCATGACGCCATGTGTACAGAGATCTTACAGGTTGGATTCACCTTTGGTGAATGTTGTTGTATCAGTGTGTGTATTGCATTGGCTAACCTTTTCTGAGAAACCCGAGATTTATAGTTTCTTTCTTATCTATGTTGTATACATGAATCAAAGACTGAATTGTTCAGGGACAAGACAATATTGCATTCGATGCAATTTCATAGCTGTCTAGCTTTTAGTGAGTTAAAGACCTGAGAATGCCTTGAATGTAAAAAACGGTATACAACTGGACATATTGTTCTATTCGTTGCCAGCGCCGCAGTGATCTAGTCGGTTTTTGTTAATCTGTACATGGCTTGCCGAGAAATACGTAGGGCAATTGCTATCTCTTGGAGTCTTTCGTTCAAGTTCGATCTTGTTTCTAATTTGATGGTGTTTATTATCTCAACACGAACAAGAGTGGAAATGGGTTGGCTTTCCTGCCCAGCATAGGGATATTGCTACCTATACTGCTTGATATGTTCATCGGGATTCGGGAATCCAAAATAAATACTTCCGTCTCATGAATTCCTTCCATTTGGCAGCAGTCGGCAGAATTGTTTGTCATGTTGATTCTGTCTTCAAGCTTGAAGAGGCGGGGTCCATGATATTACCCTCAAAACGAAGGTTGTGAGCGCTTTTTTACCCTGAGGATTTTGTGAAGTTGTCAACTTATTTTCTTGATGAGGTAACCCTGGTTACTGAAAGTTCGTTCTTGGCTTAAGGTTCATATTGGCTTGCACCTTTTGTTATGTAAATCGTTGTACTTGTTTTAGAGCTTTTCATGCATTTCTTACAACTGAGGCCGGTCTCAGTAACTTGGGCTTGTTTTGGTCCGAGACCAGCTGAAGTTGGGTTCCGGGCTAATGCTTAATTCATGTAAGGGAATGTGCTTAAAGTCAGATGATCCAATGTTCAAAATATCCATACAGGGTGAATAGGGGTGGATTCTATCAGAGCTGAGCCGAATATTTGGCTATTCGAACTTGGCCCATTGAAACTGTGTTAGGTTTGAGCTCAAGCTTGAGCTCGATTCGAGCTAGAGATTTAAGCTCGAGTTCAGCTCGGTTCAAAGCTCGCAAGTTCGAGTTCGATTGCAAGTCAAGTCTTTTTTTTTCTAAAAATAAAATGTATGCATATAAAAATATTTTTTTATTTTACATAAAAAAATTATTTATTATTATACATATAAAAAATAAAAATATGCATATAAATAATGTTTTTATTTTACATACACAAAAATAAGAATTATAAAAATGATTTACCATTATACATAAAAAAATATAATATATAATAAAAATTATTTACCATTATATTATGCCGGTGAGAAGTTTGGCTCATGGCCACCCTTAAGCCTATATTGCTGTATTGATATTGCTTTTTCTTTTATTTTTTTTCCTGAATCAGGTTCAGAGGGGTCGGTCTACTCCCTGAACCACTCGCCAACCCAAAACATCCCCTGTAGGGGTGTATTAGAAAGGCTCGTATGATACGTATCGGTCAATACAGGCCAAAATTTTGAACCTTGATGTGATCTGCTCTTACACAACTACTTAGGGGGTGAAAGAATGGGTACAAAATTTTGAACCTTGATGTGATCTACACCTGCACTCCTACTTAGGGGTGATCCAGGTGAAAGAATGGGTAGGTTTCATTCAGAACAAAATGAAAACAACCTCGAACTGAGCCAACCCAATTTGTTACAGGATCTAATTTTAAATCTTGGAATCAACACCCACCCAAGGCAGTTCTAGGGTATAGGGGATTACTCTACTTGAACCAATCCAAAGAACCTACTTGGGTTGGCCTTGGAACCAAACTTCACTTTAAATCCCAAAATAATATGAGAATGTGACAATTTAGTTTCAAGCACTCATGGTTTCAAAGGCCATGGTCTCATTTGACTATAAGGTAGAAGGTAAGATTTATAAAATTTAAATTATAATGATAAATTTTGAACTATATTCCTATGGGTAAACCTTAGAATCAACCCTAAAACCACTAAGGCCAAAAGCGACCCCGGAACTGGTCTTGACAGGGTAGGTTTTGGTTGCAAAACCTTGGAATTGATTCCTACAGGACAGGTTCCAAGTTTTGCTTTGGAACCAAACTGAACCAACCCATGTTGACCCCTACTCTATTGTAAATTGCAATTTTATTTTACCAATTCTATATTGCAAGTTGGAGCTCTTAGTATGTTGAGAATACTGGATTTTTTTTTTTTTTGAAAATTTTGTAAACACGTAAGTTATGGATTTTCAAAACTACCGAATTCAAAGTATTGGAAGGCTTTTTTTTTTTCTTAAAGGTAAGATATTAAATAGATACGCATTCAATTCTACCCAGCCTTTTTTAACTGTAGCACACACACATATATATATTAAATCATATTTCCATACTTGAAATTTAACTGTCTATTAAACCTAGTAATTTTAACTGACTCAGGTATCGGGTGAGGACACCCTAGAAACCCGCACTGTAATAGCTAGTGACTCTTAACCTAGTAGTTTTTTAGTACACAGATCATCGGCTTAGGTATGTTCATTCAGTCTGCTTTTTCTACAGGGCTTACCTTCACAATCTGCTCTGTCTATCTCTTGTTTATTCGAAAAAAAAAAAGCCAATTATCTGGAGATTGTACATGTATGATAGTCGTTCCATGTGGCTCCTTGTACTGGTATTTCCTTTTCAATAGAGCAAACAACTGAACCTGACAATGCGGTTAAAGCAGATATCACACCCTGAGGAAAGATAATTCTTCTTAATTCTGTGAAGAAACCCTCGCCTTTTGGTGTTGGAAAGCAAACCAAGCAAACCCTTTTTCCATTAGATGAGAACAGGATTATTATATATTGTTTGATTTGATATCCATGAGTATTTTATATTGAGCTCTTCACCTCTCCCAGGAGTCAGGACTGAGGACATTTTCCTGAACCCATTCATCCTGTTTACTATTCAATTGTTTCTCTGCAATTCAACCCATTAATGACCCCAAAGTTGTTTATGGCTGGATCTTAAGATGCTGCACCTTGAGGGGACAAATTTTTCATCCCAAAAGAACTTGCACCAACAGTTTGCCCCCCTCCTCAGTTGACCTGAGCTTTTCTAAAAGTAAAATACTTGATAACTGAAAAATATTGCTTAAAATAAGAAACTATGGCCTTACCCATTTAAATCAAAACATTATCTGGATAAATATTGGATGGATGGCTAATCAAACAATCAATTTCAGCAGACACTAGTCCCAGCTCCCCAACTTGAAAAAAGAATTTGTACTGGATTGATCAGAATACAACCATGTAAGATTTAATCCAATCAGTGATAAAATAAGATTGTTGCTTTGCCACTAACGTTCTGTTTGTCTTAGTTAATCAGATTTGATCATGAAATGATAATAAATGGAGCTGCTGTTTGAGATTATAATATCTTGGTTGATCAGATTAAATCTTGGATCTTGATCTTATCCTGACATAACTGGTCACCAATAAATGATCATATATGGTTTTGTGTTAAAGTTTGTGATACATTTATTAGTTGAGGAATGCTGGTATTGTAAACAAGGAGTCTGTGCAACTCTTGAACTTCTTCGCCAAATGCTATGTATAATGTTTCCCTACAGTGTGTTTTCATAGGTTGGGGAAATGTCAAAGACTTGCATGTTTACTGCAATTCTCCTATTATTAGTAAACTTGGGACGAGTATTTTTAGTGTCAGAGGACAGAGGACGTTACCAAGCAACGAATGGTGCATACCCCTGAGTCCAACGTACTCTGAAACATGGATGGCCCATGAAAATTTGACTGCTAGCGTGTCCTATTGTCCTTTCATGTCTCCCACTATGTTTGTGGTGGTGCTGAAGCTGGGTACTGCACCCTCGAGGTGCTTGCTGGCATTTCTTTGGTTCTAACCAAGGTTTTTAAAACCTGGCCGGACAGGGAACCGTTCAAGGGACCGGTTCCTGGGTCAAATGGTCCCGAACGAACGAATGACCTGTTCTGACTTAAAAATAAAAAATGGCTAAAAACCGTTGTACGGGTCAATGGTTTGGCGGCCAATTGCCCGAGTCAGTGGATCACTGACCAAATCAACGGTTTTTGGCCAAAATGGTTTAAGGGTGAAACAGAACCGGTTATCTGACCAGTTCCCGGGTTTTCTGGTCCAACCATCCAGTCCAGTCCGGTTTTGAAAACCATGGTTCTAACTTAGGGCCCGTTTGGTGTGTCTTTTCGCACGGTCTTTCAGCTGTTTATAAGCCAGACAGACCGATTTTTTATCTATTCCCATTTGGTTCGCAGAACATCTAGCTGCCAAAAGCTGGAGTGTCGAAAAGACGTGAGAAGCTCATTTTGGGCTGATTTTGGGAAGCTCCAAATGAAGTTTTTTGCGTCTTTTACATTTTATTCTCGCACGGAAAGACATGTATCTGCTAAACTAGCTTCAGACTGTTTAGATTTTCATAATGCGTCTTTTGACAGACAGAATTACCAGAAAATCTTCCCAAAAAAACTTATCAAACATACCTTCATTGAGAAATGTTCCCAATACACGGTGGGAAGTTGGGGGGCTGATTTGATCTCGTGGTAGACTGGTAGAGAGAAAATTTCACTTGTCTTCATTAGTGGCTCATAACATGCAATTATGAACTGGTCCAATTGGCATCTCATTAATTATCAGCTATCAGCTCCAGTTGTCTCATTAATTATCAGCTATCAGCTCCAGTTGAGATAAACCATTAACAGCCCAATTTGAATTTGGGCGGGCTGGAATCCTGGAAACTGGAAAGATCTCTGATAAGATGACAGAACAAATGATTTGTTTACATCCACCAGATCTTCTCACCAATGAACAACCCTTGATCGACATTTAGTGGTTCAACTTCTCAACTGAAGAAATTCCATAATACCCAATAATCTCCCTACTAAGTTAATTAATCTGCACCATTAAATATAATAATATTAGCTGCATTTAGCCTAATATTTGAAAGGCAACCACCTCAATTGGGCTGGCCGTGTTGGAGGTTAAGCTCAGTGCTCACCACGGTGGAGTCAGTTGGGAGCACATGGGACTACCATCCCATGTGATCCTTCTCTTTACTTCCGGCTCTCTGCAACAGCCATGGAAAATGGGCACATTGGATGCAGAGCTGGAAGCCCATTGGCTGTGGATATGGTGAGATTATTATTA